GAGGGAAGGTCTTCCAAGCAGGATGTTGTATACTGAAGGTGCATCGACCACTAAGAACCTCACAATGGTGGTGGTCTGGCAAGGAGGATCTCCCCTAGTGAGCACGAGCTAGATTGACCCTAAGGGTAATACCTTTTCCCCTGAGAACCCTAATAGGTTAGCGCTTAATGGCTCGAGTTTGTCCCTACCTATATCCATCTTGTCGAAGACAGACATGAAGATGATGTCAGCAGAGCTTCCGTTGTCAATCAAGACTCTATGGATAGTTTTGTTTGCGACAATGGCTCTTACCACTAGGGGATCATCATGAGGATGATGGTAACCTTCCAAGTTTGAATCTGAGAAAGTGATATTCATGTTTAGCCGAGGTGTTTTGGACACGGTATGCACTTCCAGTATTTCGTCAATTCTGATTTTGCGCAGGTGAGCCTTCTTGGATGAGCTGGACTCCCCACCTGCTGTGAATCCTCTGGATATTACTCTGATCTCCCCTAGAGGTTGTTGATGTTTGTGCGGGGACCTGTTGATGAGGTGCTGGAGGTGGTGGAGCTCGATTCTGATTGTCATGCGCCACAAAGCAATGCAACTGCCCTCGTCGAATCAGGAACTCGATTTCCTTCTTCAGCTAGATGCAATCATCTATGAGGTGGTCATAGTCCCTGTGGTACTCGTAAATGCTTTGTGGCATCTCTTTTCGCTGGGTCTGCTTTTCATCCGAGGTGGCCACATTAGAAATTTCTCATTCTATACTTTTTAAAGAATCTGGGATACCATAGCTGTGAGTAGGGTGAACTACCGAGGTACATACATTGGCTGTAACTTTGGCTGTGGAGGGCCTAGGCGATCTCTAACATCCCCCCTTCTTTTGGGGGAATGATCCCTATCTCTTCTTGGAGACCTATCTCATCCTTTTTCTTTTCTGGGACTTTGGTCCCTCTTTTTCTCTTCCTTCCCGTTCTCCTTCTACGTGGATGAGCTCCCTACCTTAGAAAGAAGAGCTTATTCGCCATTAATATACTTTTCTGCCTTAGCTACCACTTCTGCCATGCTCCCTTATGGGTTTTTTGATATGAAGAACATCAAGTCCTTCGACTGCACTCCTAACCCAGCGATGAAAGCCATAATGGCAAATTTTTCATCTAGAACGTCAACCTTCAGTGATTTTGCATTGAACCTATGGATATAAGACCGAAGGTTCTCGTTGTGCCCTTGTTTTTACATTCAATAAATGATAGCTCAGTTTTTGATAGTTCTGGGATCCTATAAAATGTGATACAAATAAAATGGAGAGCTCCCTAAAAGAAGAGATAGACGTCGGGGCTAACCTATTAAACCATTCTAAGGCTGAGCTTTGTAATGTAATGGCAAAGACGAGGCATCGCACAGGATCTTGATATCCATGCAACTCCATTTGGTTCTTATAGGTGTTGAGGTAATCTATGAGATCTTCCGTCCCATCAAAGGCCTCCATCTAGGGCATTCTAAACTTCTGAGTGAGGGGGAAGTATAGCACATTTGCAGTAAAAGGGGACTCAGTATGCTAGACCAAGGCGTCCATAGTTACTGGGGTCTTGCCTCTCAGAGATTCCTTCATGTGGTTGAGCTCCTATTGGATATCTTTGAAGCGTTGTTCCCAATACTGCTCTCTTCTTTCCTGCGGGAAAGGGAGAAACTCGTTTTTCTCAGTTCCTACGTTCTGGCTTTGCACTTCTTTGTTATTACCATTCCTGGGGGGTGGATGAAGAGCATGGCCCATGGTTTGGCTACTTTCACCCCCTTTGTTAATCTCCCTTAGGGGATCGAGACGTTGATGTTGCTCTTGTAGGGGATCATTGGGATTACTCTGGGCTAGTCGCACCTTCTGAGGACATCGTAAAAGCTTCAAAAGCTCCTCATTCTGTTGTAATAGACGCTGGTTGACTAGGCGTAGAACCTCCAATTTGTTATTCGATGGGGGATCCGCCATGGTAGGATTGGTCTATGTGGTGGAAAAGAATTCTTGAAGATTTACTTGTTGCCTTTCGCTAGTGGCTTCCTGTTGGTTCTACATCCATGGGGGATTAATCTGACTTCTACTCATATTACGTGTAGAGACCATCAATTGCTGAAAGATACCAGTGTGTTTGTAATATGAATAGTCGTGCCCACAGACAGCGCCAAACTGATGGTATGTGAAACATGATCGAGCAGATTTCGTGTACTATTGGATTTGATCTAAGCTACAAGGATCTTGGGAATACTGTGGTAAACCGGGGGTAAGGGATGGAATACATAGGAGAGTTATAGTGGTTCACTAGCTCGGGAACTCAGTTAATTCACTCTTCAATGGAGTCTCTTGCTCCTAGAATCTATATTGATAGTTATGAGAAGATCACATAGTGTTCTTGATACAATTTTGGTTGCTTGATTTTTCTCCCCGCCTCTAAGTGAGGGTTTAGTACAATATGTATAGCCTAGTTTCTAGTTCTATGGGATCTGGGGCGAGATCTTCGCCTACCTTTCGCTACATCCCACTTGATTTCTGGCGAAGGTTCAGGCGGTTAAAGATCTTGTGCCTAAACTAACACTTACCGCCGTTGAGGGGGCGCGTTGTGGTTGCTAGCAGTCTTTCACTCATTTTCTTCAGGGTGCAGGTCGAGAGAGCCCCAGGTCTAGTCCTCTAAGTTCAAGCTCTATTGGCTGAGCTCCCTTCCTGACCTCACCTCCCCAGCTTAAACTTGGAATTTCTTCTAGGTATCATCAGGACCCATAATAAAATCAATAATAGTGATTAATCAAGTCTACATTTTAAGTTTATAGAGTATAGTTTAATAAATCACTTAATCCAATATTTGGTTAAAATTTTTAAACATGAGATTAAAACTTAAGGGTCGAGACCTGGCCCATAACCGGCCCGAAAGTTAAACTAATGAATATATAAGTTTGAAATCAATAACCTAGGACATAATAATAAAAAGACATTTGTATCCCTAATTTGTTCAATTACAAAAGAAAGAATAAGATAATTTAGTCAATTATGTAACAAATATTTTATTACAATTATGATTAATCCGTGAATTCCACGTTTATGCTATTATCAAACCAAAATTGGATATGATTTATGTATACATCTCACAAAGAGAAAGGGTTTGAATTTGAAAAAGTTTGCTTAAAGCAATCCAATACCCATCAACAAGCCATTAGTCCAATGATATTTCTTACCTTATGAAGACTTGTTTTCACAAAGTCAAGAGTTCAAACCATAGTTTTAAAACCCATCTCAAACATCAACCCGGGAAAAGGACTGAGTCACTAGTTCAACTGTTGGATCATTGGTCAAATCGATCATATAATAAAAAAATAATTATAAATAGGCTAAAAATTCACAATAATTATGAAAATAACATGCTTAATATATTAGATCAAACAAAAACTTCAAAATCATCAAACACATTCTTTTTTTAACAGAAAAAAAGATTTTATAGATGTAATCCAAAAATTACAAGAAACAAAATATTACAAGAATGAAACAATAAAATTCTCAAAAATTACACTTGATGGCTTTAATCCTTAAAAATGACCAAAAAACATCTTCAGCATTATCAGAGTGCAAGACTTCACTGCCCATTCCCAGCGGCATCATCCACAGCACCTACACCCTTTAACCCTTGTCATCATAAACCAAAGCCCTTTTAACCCTCAAAACTGGCATCCCTCTCCTGTCCTGCAACAAGGCCAACCTAACATCACTGGGTAAACACAAAGAACCAGAAAACTCAAGAAGAATTTCTAGTTCTTACTGCTTGATTAGCCAAGCCATCTGCGACTCCATTCGCTTCCCTATAAACGTGCCTAATCTGAAAATCAACACCCCTCTACAACTCCTTAATTTGGCTAAGTAAATACAATAAGGCCATGCACAGGAGCATTTACCCAACACCATATTAACAAGTATCAAAGAATCACACTCAATTTGAAACTTCTGGGATCAAACACATATTCAATCCATTCAATTTCCTATACAACTTTGTTAAGTTAAGCATCAAAACCAACAACCGACAATTAATTAAACCCTAGAATTAATTAAAATAGGCCAAAAATTATACAAATACAAATCAATTAGTTCTAAAAATGTAATAGCAAACTAGCAGGCAGAGAGAGAGAGAAACGTAAAACCTCATCGTCGAAGATTTGCTATAGTGTTGTGAGCCTGAGTCAAGATCTGAATCGAAGAAGTTTTGTCGAAGATCTGAGTCCAATAAGCTTTTGTCGAAGGATTGTTTCAAAAGCTTAGATTTATCAAGAATTTTGGTCCAAGTCTTGACGAAGAAGAAGCCCAAAAGACCAACACAACATAGATGTTCAACGAAGGTATAATACCGGTGGTGAGATTGAACTTCACGACTATGAAGGTGAAGAGCACACCCAGAATAAAGCTCGGAGCACTTCAAGTCTTCGATTGTGTGTGTGTGTGAGAGAGAGAGAAAGAGAGATGACTGAGCGACAGTCGCCTCGTCGGAGACGACGAGAAGCAGACAACAGAGGTAAAAATGAAATGAAAGTTAGGCAAAAATGCTCTAGAACCAATTTTTATAGCATTTGAATTAGACTGTCTGATTTCGTCCGATTCAACGATTTTCTTACAAAATCAATCAAGTCATCGAATTTTATCCTTTTCATTATATCGAACAATTTAATAACTAAATCAGCTCGATTCGAGCTCTGATTTACCGATTTACTGAGTCAACATTTCAAATCAGACCGATTTTTAAAACCAAAAAACCGAAAACCAACCAAAAAGGTAAAGACCTAGGACGACGAAGTTTCCAACGAGAAGAGACATTCCGAGCTGAGTTTCTCTCTATGTAAAGCTAAGTCCCTTCATTTCATTTCCATGAGGATAATCTAGATCAGTATAGACAAGAACAAACTGATCCATTCGAAGCTTTGCAAATATGGGGGCGTCAGCATCAGACCTTGATCTTCTCTGTGATGATGATTTTGCCTTCTGGCCTATAAAGATCCGACCAAAATGCCGGAGATTCTCCGGCGATAACAAGCGTAGGCCTCCTTTAGCGACTTCATCAAACAGTCCTCTTGTTTCATCATCGACGAGCATAGAAACTGGTGAATCATCACAGAGCTTCTGTGAGATTTGTGCGGAAACGAAAGTAAGTGATGATATATTCAAAATACAGAAATGTAGTCACTCCTTTTGTACTGATTGCATAAGCAAACATGTGGTGTGCAAGATCCAAGACAACAAGTTATTGTGCAGTGCCCAGGATTGTATTGCAAAAGTGTCCTTGAACTCGATTCTTGCAGGTGGGATTGTTTAATCGTATTATTTTGAGTTCGAGGCATGTTTCTTATTATTAATTGGTCGTGTTAATTGGTTTTGTCATTTTCAAATTCGTGTCGGATGGGCATAAAATTCTAGCAGGTCAATGATACCCAATGAGGTGCTTGCTCGGTGGGATGAGTTGCTATGTGAGTCACTGATTCTTGCTGCCCAGAAGTTCTACTGTCCATTTAAGGACTGTTCAGCCTTGTTGGTTAATGACACTGATGGAGTGATTAGGGAGTCTGAGTGTCCCATATGCCGGCGATTGTTCTGTGCGCAGTGTTCCGTGCCTTGGCATTCAGGGATTGGGTGTGAGGAGTTTCAGAGACTGAATGAGGATGAAAGAGGGAGGGAAGATCTCATGGTGAGAGAGCTTGCAAGAGACAGAAACTGGATGAGATGTCCTTGCTGCAAATTCTATATGGAGAAGAACGAGGGCTGTTTACATATGACTTGCAGGTTAGTTTGTTTTAGTTCATGTTTAGAATTGAATTGGTCATTTTGATGGGCTAGATTCCTAATAGTTGAGCTTGCAAAGATCTGAGTTTATATGCTAATTGGTTCATTATAATACATGAAGGGTCATTACTCAATAGAGTAGTTTAAGTCTGATATGATCTTCAATGGTTTTCTAGTTTTAGGACAGGCTTCTGGACTCAATTCATCAAATTAAGTTACACCTATTCAAATCTTTTATGCTTTGGTAAATCTGATCAACAATTGTCTCCGGCACAAGAGGGGATGATACGGGGTGTGGAATACCTAATCGCTTAGTTAATGAGATGTACATAAATCGACATAGTTCCATGTAAATATTCTTTGGAGCTAGAACCAATCAATAGAATGAAATTCAATAATGGTAAACCTAGGAGCGTGACACGAGCATACTAAGTTTTCGGAAGTGAAGAGAGCCCGCAATGCGGTGTTTCATTTTGGTACACAAGATTATGCATTCTTCGCTGAGGTCGGGTCTTCAGTTTCTTCATAGGGATAGCATAATAACTGTTCAGTACTTGATGTGGTTGATCAAAGGAGTGCAATTTTCAGCAGCGACTAATTTCTTATTTTGCACAGTAAAACTTTTTGATTAAATGCTTGAATATATAGTTTAGCATATGTACATGACCCGCCAACAGGCCAGGATAGGCCTGTCCAAACTTACAGGTTACTTCGTGGAAGTGGGATGGGCTGTCCGGCCTGACAGTTAGCTGCGTTGTAGCACTGATTAGATCGGGCTAGCCCACCCAAAATACTACCACACTCGACTACCTTCATGGTCAACCCGGATGGTCCTTTAGCTGGGTGTTCATTGAACCTGGTGCAACTTGCTATTTGTTCTAAAAATTATTTTTTTGAAGTTTTACTGATTAATTTTCAGACCATGACCCTCCAAAAAAAATCAGGACCCATGACCTTTCTCGTTGCGCTATTAGATTGCCCGTGTGATATCGCTTGTCGGGCCAACTAGCTCATCAACCGTTGGGTGGCCCGGCTAACAGAATAGTCCATGGTTTGCGGGCCATTTGCTGAGGCTTATGTCAAACATACAATAGGTTTAGTACATACGAGAAACAAGATTTTGTGGTCTGATAATGAACTTGCAAGACTTGGGTTGTGCAGTTTTTCAATAATTCAATCTATTATTGTTTCCAGCATTACCAGTATCTATTACCTGCTCAATTTGAGAAATGAATAATGTGTATCTTGATTGCTCTCCCTCAAATTAAGAAGTTTTGGATTAAGTCAGAAATTGGAAGTCTCCTTGTTTGGTGACTGCTTTATTTGTTGCAGATGTAAATTCCAATTCTGCTATGCATGTGGGGGAAAATAGAGTGATACTCATGGCGGTTGCCAGAGACAATGATTGCCAGTGGGGTGAGTCCAATGTTTATGTAGACGTTGAATAGCTGATATAATCTAGAGGGAACGTTCCTAGCCTCTTCTAGGAATAGAGGCAACCTAGCATATGAGACTTCCGTCATGCAGAGTTTGGGAAGAATCATATATATGTTGTTTGCTCTGCTTGGCCAGAGATTGATTCGTGTTCTCGCCTGTTCTATGGTTCTAGTAAATCTCATCCAGAAAGTTAAATGCGCATGTTAAATGTTGCTATTGTCAAACTGTGTTAGGCCAAGACCTGTTTGTGTTGGTCATGAAGTGCAAATGCACCAATATATCGTCTTCTTCTACTCAATATTCGCCTACATAAATCTGAAGTCATTGGTTGATTGAGCCATTAATTCAGCTAAAGAGGCCCTTTGCCATTTTGTTCGCCAACATTAGGCTCCCTAAACCAAGCTGGTTCTTTTTCTATGCCTGAAGACTACGTGTTCTGCTTTACTTGTAATTTTGTTTTCTGTTATCAAGATGTAGACTGACTGATATAATGACGTTCTTGCAAGCTTTCAGAAAGGAAAAAGGAAGCCCTTTGTTAATTTCTATTTGTAAAATGCCTTTTTTTCTGGACCACTAAGTGGTTAAAATCTTCGTCTATTTGCTTTAAAGTTGAGGGTTCAAATCTGAGAGCAACCGCTTAGTACATATAATATCTAGATTACCCCTGCGTGCTCGCATTAGTAGGGATGACACATGATTTGAATGATCTATAATAAGGTCCTAAATATGAAGGAACCAGTTCCAATGCTACAGTACGAGGGGGGAGAATTGAGAATTGTTGTATGATGCGTAGCATTAGGCGTCGATTCACTCATGGACCCCCAAAAATTATAGTGGTACAATATCAAAAAAAAAACACTCCGGTGCCGTAGACATATCCTATGTTTATTTGTCAATGATTTAAGTCATGCCTTCTATGGTCTTTCTTTTTGTCTTCTGAATTTTCATATACTTTTATTATGCTAACTAAGGTCTCGTTTGGCCCCCTTTTGGGGAGTAAATATTGAATGTAACGGTGACACCACACCAATGAGCCTTTAATCCTTATTAAGAGTTCAAGTACTCTTTTTCCTTCCCCCTCCCAAAAAAAAATGGTGACACTACGTTGTCGTTATCACATTGTCACCAATTAATTATAAAATAACAAATAGTATTGATGAACCTCAACAGTAGATTGCTGGATAAATCGATCCAAACATGGATTTCTTAGATTGTTGGATAAATCGATCCAAACATGGATTTCTTGGCTTTCCTTCTTTCTTACATTTGTTTTTCTTCTTTTGCCTCTTTTCATCTTCCCTTGATTTTTTCCTCTCCTTTTTGATTTTTATCCTTCCCCTTTTTCTTTTTGCCATCATCTTTTTAAAATTTTCATTTCCACTTTCTTTTTGTCCATCATTGAAGATAAAAGGAGGCTGAAAATTAATGTCTAAGAACTAGTTCAGGGCGTAGCTATAAGGGGTGAGTATTCAACGTAAATCAAAATTTGCAATCATAGATGACCTGTCTGTAAATTGATCAAAAAAAAATTTAATTGAAGTACATATAAACTGTCTCGGCCACCACTAACTAAGAATGGCAATGGACCTAGGAAAAATGGGTATTCGTTCAAATCCTTCCCGTTTGGATAGGAGATATACTATACGTATCGGACGGTGGACGTATATAAGGATACCCCGTATAAACCCGTATAGGGATGGAGACGGAATGGACTGACACTTACCCTTGCTCGCCCCCGCTAACCCTATATATATGTAAAGAGGTATTGAAATAGAAAGGTCGGAATAAAGAGGGGAGAAAAAGATTTTTTTTTAAAAAAGGGTATTGACTTTTAAACCTTCACTTCTTCTTTGAGGCAGCTGTTCTTTTGCTGGGAGGCGGCTGTTCTTTTTATTTGGGGCCGGACGCACATCAGGGAGGAAAAATGCCGATGGCAGCCGGTTTGTTCTATTTTTTTGGGAGGTTTTTGTTGTCCATTATATTTATCGATAACTAAATTTTCAGGTAGAGTAAGTGATGAACTTGTACGGTAGATGGTGTACGTACTTCAAATATGGGTGATAACCAGAACCTAGCAACTTTCAAACGTAGCTTGTGGGCTTCCTTCTTCTCCTCGGGCAATGTTCCATCCTTTAGGAAGTTAACTATAGGGTTCATCCAGCTTGGCTCGGCATCAATGCATTGGGCTTCTTGGGTATTGCTCGACTGAATACTGGGTTCAGGCTGTAATTTCACAGTAAGAGTTCGCTCACTTTCAAGGTCAATGGTCGAGGCCAACGAAGCTAAAGCATCAACGTGAGGATTCTTTGCTCTTCCGACCTGTTGAATGGAATATTCAAGTATCTTGCTCAGTTCCCTCTCTGCAATGGCATGGTAGGCCATCATTCTTTCATCATTTGCTGAATACTCCCCTATTATCTGATTCACCACCAATTGTGAATCGGAGAATATTTGGAGCTTCATTGCCCCCAGATCGCCTACCAGCCTTATTCCAGCTATCAAGGCTTCATACTCTGCTTTGTTGTTTGAGGCTTCAAATCCAAGCTTGGTGGCTTTCTCCAAAGTACATCCCTCTGGGCTTACTAGAACAATGCTGATGCTAGCACCCTTTTGATTTGAAGATCCATCGACGAATAGTGTCCAACTCTTACCGAGCTCCCCTTCTCGGTTGCAAGAAGTCTCTTCAGTCTGCGTTGAGATATCCTTAGGTAGAAATTTTGCGATTAAGTCTGCCACAACCTGGCCCTTTATCGCCTTCCTTGGTTCGAATCGAACGTCAAACTCCCCTAGCTCCACTGCTTATTTAGCAACACGTCCTGACAAATCGACTTTATAGAAGAGTGACTTTAACGGTTGATCAATAAGTACTGTGATTTGATTGGCTTGGAAGTAATGCCTGAGCTTCCTAACCGAGCTAATCAGTGCTAGGGCAAGTTTTTTCAATGGAGTATACCTTGATTTTGTACCCAAGAGCATCTTGCTCACATAGAAGATTGGTTTCATCTTTCCAAAATCATTCCTCGTCAATGTTCCACTTACAGCCTGCTCTGATACAGCCAGGTAGAGGTAAAGTCCTTCCTCGGGTGCCGGGGTTGATAGAATCGGTGGAGACGCTAAGTATGCTTTTAGATTTGCAAATGCTTCCTCACACTCCTGACTCCAGAGTGCTCCCTTCTTTCCTTTGATTGACTGAAAGAAGGATCTGCACTTATTAGATACGCGAAATATAAATCTCTCAAGTGCTGCTGCCATTCCTGTTAGCCTCTGCACCTCTTTTACAGTTCAAGGGGATTTCAATTCGACAATAGCCATCACTTGCTCGGGATTCACCTCTATTCCTCGGTGAGTAACCAGAAATCGCAAGAATTTCCCCGAGCCTACCCCTAAATGCGCATTTGGAAGCGTTTAATTTCATGTTGTACCTCTGTAGAACTTCAAATGTGCTTTTAAGGTCGGCACAGTGGTTTGTTGCCTTCCGACTTTTCACCACCATGTCATCAATTAAACTTCAATCGTACTGCCTATCATATGGGAAAACATTTTATTCACCAACTTCTGATATGTTGCCTCAGCATTCTTCAACCCGAATGACATTATTTTGTAACAGTACATTCCATTCAGTGTTATGAAGATAGTTTTTTCTTGATCTTCCTCTACCAGGGGGATCTGTTGGTATCCCCTGTAGGCTTCCAGGAAGCTCATCTGTTCGTGTCCAGTAGTCGTATCTACCAACTGATCTACCTTCAGCAAGGGGAAGCTATCATTTGGACATGCTTTGTTTAGGTCGGTGAAGTCAACACAGACCCTCCACTTCCCATTTTTCTTCTTTACTACAACAGTGTTTGACAGTCAGGTCGGGTACTGTACTTCTCTGATCGTTCGGGATTCCAGTAAACGCACGACCTTCCCCTTCACTACCTCCTGATGTTGAGGTGCTGACCTCCTTAATTTATGTCTAATTGGCTTGAAGCTCGGGTCAACATTCAATTTATGACATGCTACTTCGGTCGGTACACCGGGCATATCAGCAGTGCTCTATACAAAAACGTCAGCATGTTCACGTAAAAGATTAGTGAGCTCAGTTTTTTGCTTGGGACTCAGAGCAGTTCCTAACAAAAAATATTTTTTGGGATCCCTATCCTTGTCTAAAGGTACTTTAGTCAAGTCTTCAACTGTTCGGTCCGTAGCTTCCTTTTTGGTGCCTAAAGGTACTTTAGGGCCTTCATCGTCAGCTCGATCGATTGGTTTAATCGAGCTGTAAAAGGTTAATTGCTATTTTGCCTCCTTGGATATTGAATTCTCGCGAACTTCAATCCCTCCTCTGGGTTTGACCGAGGCTAACAAGCAAGTTCTAGCACTGATTTGGTCTCCTCGAATATTGACTATTCCTTCGGCTGAAGGGAATCTCAACATCAGATGGTACGTTGAGGGCACCGCCTTCATTGCATATAGCCAGGACCTCCCCATTATTGCGTTATATGCCGAGACTGTATCCACTACTAGGAACTCGGTCATGATGCAAACTGGTCCTGTCTTTACAGGCAAAGTGATCTTTCCCTTGGGAAGTACTATTTTTCCACTAAAGCCAATAAGCGGAGTATTTGAAGGCTTAAGATCCTCCTTCTTAAGTCCAAGTTTCTCAAATAGATCCGAATACATGATCTCTGACGAACTCTCCGGATCAATCAGCACCCTTTTTACATCAAAATTCGCAATCTAAAGTGTAACGACTAAGGCATCATTATGCGGTTGGTGAATTCCGACCAAGTCTTGCTCGGTGAAGCAGATTGCTTCGGCTGATTCCTCTATCTTGATTCTTTTACTGGTCATCTCCAGGGTCATCCGCAACTCATACACCTCTCTCTCATTAGCAGCTTTTTGGATATAAGCCCTAACAGAATTATTTGTGGACATCAGCGAGTTGGTAGTAGCGTGGATCATGTCAATCACTCCTGTTGGAGTGTTGTGGTCTCCATTTGGTTCGGTTCTCCCCTCTTTGGTCTTTTGTTCACTTTCAATGAACTATGTGAGATGTCCAACCTGGACTAACTCCTCTAAGTGCTGCTTGAGAGATCGGTAATTCTCAATCATGTGGCCTATATCCCTGTGATACGAGCACCTAAAGTTTGGATTCCTTTTAGATGGATCACCTATTAGCTTGTTCGGCCACTTGAAGAACGGCTTTTCTTTGATCTGACTTAGAACCTTATATATTGGTTCTTTGAACAATGTATTTACCCCTAGAAAAGGGGACTTCTGGGGATATCCATTCTTCTCAAACTTTCTCCCTCCCTCTCTGTTCGGCTTGGTTTGCTTTTCTCTACCGAACTGTCTCCTACTTGGATGTTCCTTAACCACTTCCCTGGATAAATCGTCATCAACCTTGGCATACTTTTCAATCCTTGCCATCAATTCTTCCAAGTCAGTAGCAAGTCTCCTCGTGAGCGATTGGTAGAAAGAGTTTTCTTTCGGCAAACCGATCTTGAAGGATGCAACTGTAATCTCTGGATTGCACCCTTCGACTTCATTTATAGTTTCCCAATAGCGATGTGCATACTCTCGCAAGCTTTCGTTACTCTTTTTTTTCAGCGTCAGTAGAGCCCCAACATCCTTTGGTTGTTTACTACTCGTAATGAATCGAGCTGTGAACTGCTCGGCTAACTGAGACCACCTGTCAATCGTTCCTTTTGGTAAGCTATCGAACCACTTCATGGAAGATTTCCCAAGACTGCTAGGGAAGATAGTGCAAAGCAGTGGCTCGTTTCTTCGGTAAATGGTCATCAGTTGTCGGAAGTGCCTGATATGTGAGGCTGGGTCGATTTTGCCATCATACAACTTGAAGTTCGGGACGGTAAGTTGCTCAAGATTCGTGCCCTTTCGACCCAAGCAGTGAATGGAGATGACTCCAAACTGTCTCTGTACTCCCCTGTTGCTCTTCTGGCTAGGTCCCTAGCCGACCTCTGATCTGGTCTTTTCAAGTGAATGTTGAGCTTTTCGTTGATATACTGCTTCCACGTATCCTCCTCCTGGATCTGAAGCTTCTTCTGTGGGTAATTTTTCTCATCGGCAATTTTAACTATGCTAGGCTTCCATCCCGGACTTTCATGTCGATCTTCTCTCGCCTGTTTTTCCCTTCTAGTCACCTCTTTCAACTTGGCCTTTAACTTTTCGTTTTCTCAAATCAAATCTTTCTTCCTAGCATAGGATTTCTTGAATAGCTTGTCATGGGCATCAAGTCGATCCTGCAAGGAATGGACTAGATTTGCCAAGGAGTGGTTCTCCCCCTCGGCACGAAGGGATTTATTACTATGATCCTGGCTCTGATGATTCTAGTTTTTTGAGGGCTTGAAACTCGCAGAGGATACCTCGTCACCTTCACGAATTTTGGAGAGGCTTCTGACTGCATGCAACCTTGCGTTGCTGTTAGAAATATGAGACACAAGATCAAAATTTCTCAAGGCAAAATTGTCTATGGGTGATCCAATTGCGTTTCTGAGTCTTGACATCGTAGCTTTTTGTTCTGAAAGATGAAGATCTTCCCACAGATGGCGCCAAATGTAAGAGGCAAAAAATTGATGATACCTCTAAACGTGAATTCGAGATATGGTTTCTGGAAAAGAAGTCTGAACAAGCTCCTATTCTCTATCCTGCAAAATGAACAAACTGCCTAAGATCGAAGTGCTTCGATCGAAGGCACTCCAATGCTTAAGTCAGTAATGGAACAGAAAGAATTGTCACAAGAACAGGAGAGTTTTGCATACCTTTCACCTTGGTCTCTTTTGCTTTTTATACCTCATTATCCCCTTAGGGTTTTCATGAATTTCAGTTCAAGGTGGCACACCTTCCTTTACTTCAGTAGTTGATTTTGGGAAGTTACTGATACTTCTCCAACGATCTCTCTTTGATATCTTCAATCTGATTGATTTTGTTTATCTGATTGCCTAGAGTTTAGGCGAATATTTAACTTTCCATCTATCGTTTTGAATAGCTCGGACATATCGAGTGCCGAGCACATTCAACATTTGCCGAACAGTTTAAGGACTTGGTTTGGCACAAACCATTATCTTCAATTCGTCTTCCCTTTAATTAACTTGACTTGGTACAGCCGAGCTCTTTCCTTGCTTTGCCAAACAAATTGATAAGCTCGGTTATAAAGTGAATCGAACTTCTTCTTTGTTTATCGAACTTCTCATTAGCTCGACTTGGTTAAAGACTTAATAGAGGATTCTTCGTCACGTGCCTTGTCTTGTCAATACCACGTGAGTACAATTAATGCCATGTCACGTGTGTTCATGAGATTTTACCCCTTCACATAACAAATTTATTACCAATTTTATTTACAAGAGTTATTTAATTTAATAAACAAGATTTGGTTGCATTGCTTATACATACACCACTAAAGAGAAATCCTACAATTGCTCTCAGTATATCTCTCCCATCATAATACATATCAATATATAGAGATTTTGATTATACACTATTTGAAAAAATAGCAAACTACATATTTGAAAAAATAGCATACTGCATACCTCTTACCCTTAAGTCGGAGGTATAGAACTTCATTAAATTGTTCTAGTTAAAAGAATTTTTTAAATAAAATTAGAATATATAAGTTGAATGAATAATTTTTGTTATAACATGAGAAAACAAGCCTTATAAACTCAGTTCAAACTCGACAGACTCGATTCGTTTATATGCAAATACTCGAACTCAGCTCGAGCTCGAATAATTTTTGGCTTGTTCAAGCTCAGCTCGTTTCTTAAATGAGCCGAACTTGAATAATTTTTTAAGTTCGATTAAGAAACAAACTTTTCAAACTCGGCTCGGGCTCGTTTGATTAAGAGCCCTAATTTGATGGTTTTGGGAGAATATGTAATGGTAAGTTTAAGTATAATAGTTTAAGAAAAATCACAACCGTTGAATATATAGTGAATTTCAATAAATACTTGGACCCTTAACAAAATCAATGATAGTGATTAGTCAAGTCTGTATTTTAAGTCTACATTTTAAATCTATGTAGCATTGTTCATAGTTTAATAAATCACTTAATCCAATATTTGGTTAAAATTTTTAAACATAAGATTAAAACTCAAGAGTCGAGACCCGATTCGTAACCAGTCGGAAGGTTAAACTAATAAATATATAAGTATGAAATCAATTACTTAGGACAAAATAATAAAAAGACCTTTATATTCCTAATTTGTCCAATTAAAGAATAAATATGATAATTTAGTTAATTACATATTTGATTACAAAAATGATTAATCCGTGAATTCTACGTTTATGGATATGATTTATGTATAAATTCCACCAAGAAAAAGGAATATGAATTTGAAAAAGTTTGCTTAAAGCAATCCAATACCTCCATTCCAAAACCAACCAAAAAGGTGAAGACCTAGGACGACTAAGTTTCTAACGAGAAGAGACCTCCGAGCTGAGGTTCTCTCTCTGTAAAGCTAAGTCCCTTCATTTCATTTCCATGATGATAATCTAGATCAGTATAGACAAGAACAAACTGATCCATTCGAAGCTTTGCAAATATGGGGGCGTCAGCATCAGGCCTTGATCTTGTCTGTGATGATGATTTTGCCTTCTCACCACTCTTGAGTGAAAAAAATGATCAAACCCTTCCCAGAGATGAAGATGATCAAGCCCTTCCAAAATCAAATGCCAAGTATGTTGAACAAAGGAACAAGAAACGCCGAAAAAAGCTCCGGCCTATAAGGATCCGACCAAAATGCCGGAGATTCTCCGGCAAGAACAAGCGTAGGCCTCCTTTAGCGACAGCATCAAACAGACCTCTTGTTTCATCATCGACGAGCATAGAAACTGGTGAATCATCACAGAGCTTCTGTGAGATATGTGCGGAAACGAAAGTAAGTGATGATATGTTCAAAATAGAGAAATGTAGTCACTCCTTTTGTACTGATTGCATAAGAAAACATGTGGTGTGCAAGATCCAAGACAACATAGTTACTGTGCCGTGCCCAGGTTTGGATTGCAAAAGTGTCCTTGAACTCGATTCTTGCAGGTGGGATTGTTTAATCGTGTTATTTTGAGTTCGAGGCTTGTTTCTTATTATTAATTGGTCGTGTTAATTGGTTTTGTCATTTTCAAATTCGTGTCGGATGGCCATTAAATACTTGCAGGTCAATGATACCCAATGAGGTGCTTGCTCGGTGGGATGAGTTGCTATGTGAGTCACTGATTCTTGTTGCCCAGAAGTTCTACTGTCCATTTAAGGACTGTTCAGCCTTGTTGGTTAATGACACTGATGGAATGATTAGGGAGTCTGAGTGTCCCATATGCCGGCGATTGTTCTGTGCGCAGTGTTCCGTGCCTTGGCATTCAGGGATTGGATGTGAGGAGTTTCAGAGACTGAATGAGGATGAAAGAGGGAGGGAAGATCTCATGGTGAGAGAGCTTGCAAGAGACAGAAACTGGATGAGATGCCCTTGCTGCAAATTCTATGTGGAGAAGAACGAGGGCTGTTTACATATGACTTGCAGGTTAGTTTGTTTTAGTTCATGTTGAGAATTGAATTGGTCATTTTGATGGGCTAGATTCCTAATAGTTGAGCTTGCAAAGATCTGAGTTTATATGCTAATTGGTTCATTATAATACATGAAGGGTCATTACCAATAGAGTAGCTTAAGTCTGATATGATCTTCAATGGTTTTCTAGTTTTAGGACAGGCTTCTGGACTCAATTCATCAAATTAAGTTACAATCAAATTCCTATTCAAATCTTTTATGCTTTGGTAAATCTGATCAACAATTGTCTCCAGCACAAGAAGATCAATCAGCTGCTGAAATTGAGAAAATAAAAAATGGGTATCTTGATTGCTCTGGCTCACATTTGGAAGTCTGCTTGTTTGCTGACTGTGGTGTAACTGGTTGCAGGTGTAAATTCCAATTCTGCTATGCATGTGGTTCCAAATGGAGCGACACTCATGGTGGTTGCCAGAGACAATGATGCCATCTCAGGAAGTTATCAGTTCATGGAGAATAACTCTTAGGATCATTGCAGGTCCTCTTCCGGGCAGCTCTGTTGATCTATTTAGTGTTGTCCAGACTGTTGAAAGTGCATGTTGAAGTGTTGACACTGTCAATTTGTGTAGCCATGGATTTGTTTGTGTTGGTCATGAAGTGTACATGCAACAATATTTAGTCTTCTAGCCATCATTGGCCTAGTGTATCCATGTGAAGTCACTGTTGATTGAACCATTAATTAAGCTGAAAAGGCCCTTTGCTCTTTTGTTCACCTACTTTGAGTTCTCTACTGTCTTTCGTTATTTGCTCTGCTTGAAGACTAGTTCTTTTGTTTGGCTTGTATTTTTGTTTCTGCTCTCAAGCTGTAGACAATTGTTGATCAGACGAAGTTATCAATTAAAAGGGCAGTCCACTACAGGAGACACTTGTCATTGTGGGTCTGTGGAGAGTCAAAGTATGCAATTTAGGTTACAATGGTGCAATGTTATCATTGTCCCAAGGCTGCCCTATTACGAGATTCTTGCGATCTTTCTGAAAAAATTTTAAGGGATGGTTAAATTTCTATCACACCACAAAGAATTCTAAGTGGGAATTGTACTTGATATTACCTCATCTTGATTTTCCTCTACAGGTTAGTTCCACATTTAAATTTACAGTCAATTTGTGTGAGCTGTCAACCCATGTTTTTTTGGTTGGTTTAATAGTTTGGGGTGTTCGGACCAACTTAGGTGCACCTCAACTAATTCTCTTTTCAGTCTGATCAAATATAGATCATCCATGTTGGGATTAGGGTATTCATGAGTCCTAGATCTGTTTGTGTCGGGCTTTAAGTGTAAAATCAGCCATTTTCTGGTGTATTTCTAGCCAAAGTTGGCCTGCTCAATCCATCTGAAGTTACTGGTTGATTGAGCCATTAGTTTGGCCGAACAGAGGCCCTTTGCCCTTCTGTTACCAACTCTTTAGTGTCTCTACTTCTTTTGCTCAAGGCTATGTTTTATTTTGCTTGTAGTTTTGTTTCTGCTATCAAGATGTAGACTACTATTGATCAAATAAAGTCACACCAAATGTGTGGCAATCCACTATTTGAGATGCTCTCTCACTGCGAGGTATTTAGAAGGTTAAATGTACGATGTGGCCACTAAAAATATTCAATGATCATGATATAGATCGAGATAGCATCCCACATTTAATAACGGGATTTGACTCTACCTCAATTTGATTTTTCACCACATTATTATTTGGCTCCTCAATCGGTGGTCCACCCACAATTATTTTATAGTATAGGGGGGGGGGGGGGGAGAGAGAGAATCATATTCTCTTTTCTCAATCAAATTCTTTTGGACCAAGTATCGCCACCAGCTCAAATTTTTGCTGGATTTTAGGTATGAGAATGGGTATTTAGTTTAGTTTATGTCATACTGTGGTATGTTTATGACTACTTTAGGAACTCGTGGCTAGTGAGATCATAAAGAAGTATTAACACAATGGGACACTTAAAGCTACGTTGGATTTACAATAAGATATGGCCACCCAACACCAAGAGGTGGTGATTATTGTAATGGGGAGGAATCCGAGGCTTCCAGACTCCCAAGCGTCAAGGTGACTGATTGACTGCCACCGACGAATTGCCACACTTCACAGATTTTGTGTACGGTATGACTAAATCGAATTAAGCCAAAATTGAGCTGAAATTTGAAAAAGTAATAATTCAGAAGGAAGTAGAAGAATTTCAATTTCTCAAAATACAATTTTTATGACGGTTTCAATTGTATTTTAGTTTCATAAGGCCACTATATTTTTTTTCTTTTCTTATTAATCATGTGTTATTCAGTTCATTAGAGTACTACATTAATCATTTTTTGTTATAGGGTATTTATATTTTTTTTTATCGACTATTCTCTTGAAAGGGTTTAAAATATATCCCTTGATAAATAAAAATAACTGATTTTTAACAAGTATAAAAAAAATTAAATCTAATACATCTAAATTATGAGAGATACCAGACTTAGTCGCAAGAGTTGAGTATTATTAGAGTTAGGTAGTGTGTTATGTTGCTAAAATTTGTTTATTTGGTTGTACGCAAGGGCATGAAAGAGACTGAAAAACAGACTTTGTTAGAAATCGGAGGAGAGAGAATGTGATTAGAGTCAAAAGGACAAAAGCATCCTTTGAACCATCAGCTGTCCTCATGTAATTGGCCGACAGTGGCTTCCAAATCAACGACGACTTTTGAAGGTTGTCAGACAACAAATCTTTTTCTTCCCAAAATCTGTCCCTGCGTGACCACGTGGGACTAGGAAACTACCGACACTACGCACAGCCACTAATATATATATATATATATATATATATAAAAAAAAAAAACAAAACCGCTCTTACTCAAAGAGACATAATTATTGAGAATAAGATTATGATCAATAAAAAATATTACGATACACAAAAATAAAACTTTAAAATCGACTTCAAAAAAAATAGCGAGTTTTATCATAAAAAATTATAAACTTTACCCTAAAAGTAATAAATGAATTCTAAAAAATTATCAAAATTCAAAGTAAGGACGTTTGAGTTTATGAGCCGTATTTATTACTATTTAAACTATTTTTTAGGGTCAAGCCATGAATTTCTTAGTTCCGATATAGATGACTTATCTTTGATTGAATCAAGAGAAATTAATTGATATAAGCGTAAGCTAAGTTGAACACCCTTGACCGTTAAACCAAAAAATAAAATAATAAAAGAACCAAAAAAGAGAAAATAACTTAAAAATTATCAAGTTTTACCTAAAATTTTATATAAATAACTAAAAATACGATAAATGATAAGGTACCAATTTTTTATTCTTTTTGGATATCGTAATCAAAATGGATGAACCCGGACCAAGAACCAACTCAAATTATGGGATCAACTTGAATAAAGGATCCATCCACATATACAAAATCCAATAGGTCTAACCTAAAAGAGATCCACTCTTAATTAGACTCATCAAGGTTCAAAAACCACGTCATCAAGGAGTAGGCAACGCCATCCCAAGAGTCTCATCCACGCCACCTTAGAAAATGAGCAAGGAAGTCAACCACGTCATCTTAAGATTTAGTTTTGAGGAGAGTCCCGTAACAGCCTCATTCATTGCGAAGATAACACCACCTCCACAAAATTAGTTTTTTAGTTATTTATAAGTTGTCTAAATCTGTTAGAAGACGACTATAAAATGTAAGCTCCACATACACATGGGGGCATCTCACACAAGAGAACACATCTGACATCACTTTCATATCTCTCACATCTCGTACCTCACCTGAGCTCTCATTACTCCCACTCATTGCTCTCACTTGATCTCCTTACACTCTTACAACAACAAAACACCCAGATCATCCTAACATTTCACAGTGGCGTAGGTCATCTTTGCTGAATCACTTAAATTTTGCGTTGAGTTTTCTCTCTATTTTATTATCTGTACTAATTACTTGATAGGTGGTATATAAAATCAATTTGTGCATAATCAAAAACTATCAACCGGATCAAATCGAGCTTTACTATTGATTTTAACAAATTTTTGTGTGTTCAGAGAAGTAGTGAATTTGACTATTTAACAAGAAAAAAAACAAATTTATCTATAAAATCAAAAATCTATAGTAATAATTTTTTAGGGTCAAATTACGAGAGATTTATCCTTCGTAAATACATTAATTCTAACGTGGATGACATGTTTTTTATCGGATCGACAAGGAAATTAATCGAGTTTCGTATAATTAGTTCAAACACCCCTAACTGTTAAATCAAAAAATATATGTATACATATATACCTAGGAGTGCTTACAAAACCATAGCGTATCAATGTGGAACAAATTACAACTAACTTGGTGTTCAAATTCTAATTTAACCACCAAAATTCGACACTTAAGTAATAGTGTTCTTAAGTATCAAATTTTCATTTTATTACCTTGCTTTGATTACTTGGGAAATGAAAACATTACAAAAAAATAATAAAAAATATTCAAGAATTTATTTTTAAAATATTGATCAAAATATATTGAGATAATTTAGAGCACATTAAAACATTAGTGAAAATATGTAAAAAAAATTTTGAAACAAATCGAAGTATTTTGAAACATCTTAAAATATTAAATTTTTTGATTCAACTATAATTCCTTCTAATCTCATTGAAAATGGAAACAGTTTCAACCATTTCGATCATTTTAAAACTAAATTTTAATCATAGTCTATTTTTATTCGATATTTTTCAAAAGTCCTGAACAACGCCCAATGTTCTAAATGTTTTAATTTCAAATCACCCAAAAATTTGTGAGTAATGTGGTCTCTTTAAAAACGAAAATAATTTTAACTGTTTCAATCGTTTTAAACTAAAATTTTGATCTTGATCCATTTTTATTTGATATTCTCCAAACTCATGGACAAAGGATTTTGGTTTTTAATTTTTTTTTTTAGTATAACGGGTATGAGTGTTCGGATCAACTTACGTATATTTCGATTTTTTTTTTTTGATCTGATAAAAAATAAGCTATCAACTTTAAGATTAAGAAATTCATGAGAGATAAATCTCTCTTAACCTAACTCTAAAAAATTATTAAAATTTAAATTCAAAACAGTTAAATATATAACTCATTGCTCGAAGTATCCCGTTTTAGGTTGTTAAAATTCAAACCAGCTAAGAACGTTAAAACTGAAGAGTCAAACTGCCCATTAACACCACGTGTCGCATTGCAATTTATTAATCGAAAAAGTTCCAAAAGGCCACCGCTCACCGTCACGTGTCGGTGACTCTCAAATCATATATTGAAATCCCACCCAAGTTTGGAACAACCGTTAGACGTTCTGTGTCACTGGCATCTCTCTTTCTATCCCTCCCCTTACCTCATTCCTCATGTGCATACAGAGGTGGGTTTAGATTAAAAGAACAGCTCTGGCCGGGTTAAGGGCGATTTTGTGTCGACTCAGTGGGAGTGGAAGGAGGAAGGTCAAGATAAAGGTGATGGACTGGTGGCACAAAATGGTCTTCCCTGTTAGAAGAGTTTGGATTTCTCTTTCTGCCCGTGTTAAGTCTCGCAAGAACGGTAATCAACTCTCTCTCTCTCTCCACACACACACACACATATATATATACATATATTATATTTGTGTGTGTGTGATAGTTTTTGCAATTGTTTCTCTGTTTCTTGCCGGATGAAGGATTAATTGGATTTTTTTGGCAAGGAGGAGAGAAATTTTGGTGACAATCATTTGGTGAGAAATGAGTTGGTTTAGCTGAATAATAATAAATAAATAAACCCATTAAGATTAATTATCATGCCAGAAACTATGACTTTAACTCATTTCTCTATTGGAAATAAAACTTGGAATTTTCTTCATTCAATAGAAAATCGATCGATAATTGTTTCCCTTTTTCCTATCTATAGTGAACATTACACAGTAGGACCTTTAAATGCATATAAGTTTATCAGGACAATTATGGAAAATAAAAGTACTCCAAATGGTATTGGGTGTTTTCTTTTGGGTTTTTTTTTTTTTTTGGGTTTTGTGGGGTGTGGGAGGGAGAGAGAGAGAGAGAGGGGGGGGGGTCACTATTTGCTTTGAAAAGAAGCATGTATATCCAAATGGTATTAGGTGTTTTCTTTTGAGGGGTGGAAGGGGAGAGAGAGAGAGAGAGAGAGAGAGTCAATATTTGCTTTGAAAAGAGGCATGTATTTGGCCACAAACTCTAGTGAGAGATTCTTTAATTAGTGACCAATGAAAAGGGATTCTTTCCTCCTTCTGACTTAGCGTAGATGCCTTAACTCGAGATGGTTTGGAATTTTAGATTTTAGTTCACCGAAAGAATGATTCCTTCATTCCATGAAACATGTTCTTGGTCATGTTTATCTAGAATCAATGGAAAATTGCACAAAATTAATCTTCTCTGGTAGCTTTGATAGAGTCATCAATCAATAATTCTTGTTCTCAGTGACAGAAAAAAGGATCATTTTCATTAGTAGGAGAGTTGATATAAAGGGTTCTTAACCAAATTGATGCGGCAAAGGATATTGATAACTTATAATCACTTGATTATTAAACTACTTAGGTTCGTATTATTTAGATATAATACGAAACTTTCATTCCTTTTTTACCACAATTTCTACAGTAGTAAGATTTGTGTGAACATTACGTTTTACAGCTGTGAAGTTATTTCAAGGCCGTGTTACTCTGTATTTTCATTGAAAAATATTTTGAAACATTGACTAAAAGATTCCATTGGTGATGTTAACATCCACTAGGATTAATGACTAACAGATCATACTTGGTTCCTTAACAAAGGGACAACTAAATTGATAACCACACAAATGAATACTCAGTGAATACTTAAACTGAATATCTATTAATGGATAAAAAAAATTAGAAGCTCAAAGAAGAGAAGAAGAAGAAGAAGAAGAAGAAGATTATGCTTGGTAATAGCAAGGAACTGTTTCAATTTCTGGTAAATGATGGATGTGTTGTACTTTATTCGTGTTAGTTTATGTTGCTATGATGGGTTCTGATTTATATTCATTTTCGTCTGTAAATATAAAACAGCAAGCATATTATTAAAGGTTCACCTAAGTTAAGACTAATCAGAGATCAAGTTGAAGATAATTCCAGCCACTAACAATTTAAATATGGATCTTCAGTGGCCAGTGGGTCAGTGTTGATATATTTTTTATATGAATACCCTGTCTATTTCACTTTTCCGCAAATAAAAGGTCAAGGTGTTAAAAAATACCATTCATTCTTTTATATTAAACTGGAATAGGAGGTAATGATCTAGGAACATGCATTGTAGTCATACAAGAGGTGTCTGATCCAGGTAACAAAGGCGATATCAGCGCACTTCACCCGCCCACTCGATCAATCACAAGAAACTAAATTCTAACCTTCGAAGTTGTAATCAACATAAAGAGAAAGCCCAACTTAAGCATCATGCTTGAGAAGTGTCATGGTTCTCGACTTATATTTATATTTCGCTCCAGAAAGACCCCTTACATATAATCGATTTGGGACACCCATATTGAAAATGACTCAATTTATGCCTTTATTTATGCACCTTGATTGGTGACCGCTAAATAATTGGGCCCTTAGATAGTGCCAGACATCCCTATCTTGTCTTGGTGGCACTTTTGTATGTAACAAAAAGACCTGCATAAATGTTTGTGGTTTCTTGCAACAGAATTCTGGAGATAGGATTTGCTATGAGGAATGCCTTAGTTTGTTGTACTGGTGCTAATCTACGGATCAGAACAATCTTGATTGTGCCAACTATTGTTAGGATGTTCCAAAAAAAAAAAAACTATTGTTAAGATGCTTCCATTTATGATCTTCTTTTGTCCTCTGTAACTATTTGTCATAGACGGATCATTTACATATACCCTCCATTGGTTTTGTTTTGTTTAGGCGCTGGGCTTTTGATGCTTCGGGATGATATACAAACGTGTGGATATGAGGACGTTCAGGTGATGTGGGAGATGCTTAGGAGAACAGAATCACAGTCGATTCAACCTAAACGCAAGCAACGACCATTTTGGAGGATATTTGTATGGTCTAATCACACTGCTGCCTCATCTTTAGCCAGAAATCAAGCCTGATATGTACGTGTCTCGAGTTCCAAACTTGAATAAAGCACCAAGACAAGCATAAGACGGCCTCATTATTCACTAGCCTCTGGCTAACTTTTTAGTGAATTGAGAGCTGTTGCAAGTGTAATACCATACCTGTTTAATATGCGGTATATGTATTTCTACTTACCTGTCTGTATTACCAGTGAAGGCTACTGGAACTATGAGCGATGAATTCATCTGTAAATACGTCGTGTTTTGCCATGATCCACAGTCAAATCATACTTGGTGATCTTTTGTCAAGGGTTTGGGAAATTTGTGGATAAAAGATCTAGTACCGGTGTTGTCACTGAAAATGCATGTAAATACGAGATATCGGGCTTGTTACAAAGGGTTTTTTAATCCTCAAGTCATCATCCTTCCTAAATGAATGAATCCCACATGATTAATAAATTAATTTGGTATGGGTAAAGGCAACCAAACGGAATACATGAGATGATTCGGTTATATATCAGTTATATACGATTTATACACAACACGTCATAGCACAAACTAAATATGACATGAATTAGTTTGATAAACCACTTAATTTCATTTTTTATTAGGACTTTTAAATTTGAGATTCATATTTTTAGCCCTCAATGAATAGTTTATTAAAAGTCAAGTTTGGGAATTTGACGAAGCCCATGGGGGTAGGTTTCAAAAAGAAAAGATTGAATTTGAAGACAAAAAGACTATTTTACCTAAAAAAAATATTCTTCTATTCACTTAGTAATGAACATTTTAGTAAATTGACTAATATGATTTGACATAAATCTATAGACTCTATATATATTTATTTCACTTACCAAACATGAAATTAGAGTGAGTTTTTGATTCACTCCCATGTAGAAATCTTTTGGGTTGGGTTTAAAGGGTTTTCCTAAAACTAATTCAATCTCTCTCCAAGTTATGAGTGAATTTTTTTTTGTGAAAATTAAGACTGAGTTCTCTTTAATGGACCTATAATAAGTTTAATTTACCAAATAAATTTATATGTGGGTAAGTTCATTTTTAATCTTATTAATGAGTAGTTAAGTCTACTATTTTTTTAAAACTCTAAAATGCTCTTCTATTGACTTAAAAAATAATTTTCAACATTAAATCAGTTTTCTAAACAGTCATCATTGATTCACATTTAATGGAAGATTTTTTTTCCATAAAATTTGAAACTCAAATTTAAATTTTACATCACTACCATTTATCTCTCTCTCTCATTTTTTTTTGGCTAAGACGACTATGATTAATTTAATATTGCATGTTACTATGTATATTACTATTTTTTTTTCATGTTATTATTTTTTGGTTGTGCATATTATTATTTGTTGTTGAGCATGCTATTATTTTTTTGATAAGTATGTTTTCCTATTAATATTGATTGTTACTATTTTTCTAAAATATCAATATTCAATATTTTTTTTTGTTGATTATGTTATTTCTGTTATGTTTTTAAAACATTAATATTCAATGTTACTATTTTTTATTTTTAAATATTATTATTTTTTGTGTTTAAATGGTACTATTTTTTGTGTTTGAATGTTACTATTTTTTATTTTTAATGTTACTATATCTATATAATAAAATAGTTAGATTTTTTTTTCTTTAGCTTTTCGCGGCTCAAATCGCTTAACAATTATTGATCTGACGGTTCTTATGCCAAATTTTTCTAAGATTTTTATCGTTTATCTAACTTTTTTTATATCTATCTTGTACTACCTCTCTCTCTCTCTCATATTATTATCTTATTTTTTTTTATTTTTCAAGTGTTATTTTTTTTATTATTTACTCCATAAAATATATGAAACTACATGTTATGCAATTATTTATTCCATAAAATTAATTCAAAGTTTTATATATTTGACAACATGTATTTTGTCACTTGCTTCTTAATTTGTAAATATCACTTAATGTAAATAAAAAATAGCACACATTTTTTACGATTTAATGACTTTTTTATCTGAGTTTCACATCTTTGCCTGATATTAGATTTTAATTGATTCGGAGCCTAAAATCCTCTAAAATTCTCATTGATAATGATTTTTATATGGATTATTTTTTTAGTTTTTTTTTAATGTTTGCTCTATTTGTTATAATTTTGGTACTTAAATTTTTAATTTACTTTCACTTATTTTCATGTGAACAAGAGATTTTTGAGTTTAACAAGCGAATGTGAGCAATTCTCTTAAAAAAAAAAAGTGGGGATGAATAATTGATTTGGTTTAAGTATGTGTGGTTGAATCTTGACCAAAATAAAATTTATCAAATGATATAGTAAGAGAGAATACGCTATGCTATAAAAAAATTTGTATTTAAATTTTATTGGTTAAAATACAAAATTTGAAGTTTATATACAACAAAAAAATTTATAGTTTAAAGTCAATTTCATGTTGGTTTAATCAACAACAAATAATATTCAACATGAAATGAACCTTAAATTATAAATTAATATATATTTTTATCAAAAAATGATATTTAATTTTGTCCAATTTATATTCAACTTTGTTGAATTAATATCAAACTAATTTTTATTGTTATCAAATTAATATTAAAATTCATTTAATCAATTTTTTTGGTTATTAAATTATATCAATTTTTAGGTACTAAATCAAATCTTATTTTATTTTATTAAATTTTTTATTTTTTTGGATACTAAAGTTGGAGAAAGACAATTATAAAAATAATAATTTATTTTTTGGGATAAAATCATCACTTTTCGTTCGTAATATTGAAGGAAGGCAAACAGAGGGGGTCTCTATGTAATAAATTTTAAACTCTAAGAATTTTCCGTGTTATTTATAAAATATCAAGGGGTGTCCGCATAATATTGTAAAAACTCAAGAGAAGTCCGTATTTTTTACCCTAATTTTTAATTAGAAATTAATTTATTATTATTTTATCATAAAAACTTGAATTATTATATTTCTAGTAAAAACAGTTATTGGTTAGGAAGGTTTGTTGTTAGCCAAAAAATAAATGTGTGAGAGTATGTGTCTGTGTATATTTATATGTCGAGGATTGAAAATTTTGTAATTAAATTTATAATTTTATTATGTCATTTGGGGTTGAATGGTAATAGTGGTGATAAATTCATGAGTTTTATAAATGAGTAAGATTTGATTGATTTTATTTATCGTGTGAATTTAATTATGTTATATTAATATAAGATTTGATTGATTTTATTTATCGTGTGAATTTAATTACGTTATATTAATATATTTTTTTTGCTTAAGATATTTATTACATGGGGATAGAGTGGATTGGAAATATGATGATTATGTTTATAATTATATTCTGTTATTGAATTAAGTGGTGATAAAGGTAATAAATTTATGAATCTTATAAATGAGTAAAATTTTATTTATTACTTAAATATTGTAAATTTTAATGGATTATTTTAGTATTTATTTTTTTTTTCAGAGGCATTTGTATATATGATGTTGTTTTGAAGAGTTTTATATATTTTTACGACAATTCTATTACTATGGAATATATGATCAGTGATATATTTTGAGTCATTTTAAATAAATAATTAGATCATTCTTTTTGTATTTAGACAATTATGTAAAAAAAAATTTTTTGTTATATATTGACTTCAGATACGAGTAATGACTAGTATATCTATATACTACTTTAAAATGTCAAAACACTTAAAAATTGTTTTTTTTCAACTTTACCCTGCAAAAATATAATTATTTAGTCCATATCTTTATCCTCCAAAATTAATTGCACATCCTTATCCTGATAAACCTGCTACTTCACTTTCAACCGTAGTTCTTCTCTCTCTCTCTCTCTCTCTCTCTCTCTCTCTCTCTCTCTCTCACACACACACACACACACACATTCACTACTCGGGAATAAAAAACAGACACTCTCTGTTATTCTCTTCCCTCTCTCTGTCTCTCTCTCTCGTGCGCATTCACTGCCCAGGAAAAAAATGAACAGACACTCCCCCTTCTCTCTCTCTCTTCTCTATGCATTGATTATTGGGTAAAAAAAACAGACACCCACCTCTGTTCAACTTTCCCCTCTTCCTCCAAGCTTCTCTTTACATCAATTATTTACATATTGATTCTAATATGATGAAGTCCTTCTCCCTTTCTCTGCTATGGTATCTTGATCGTCCCTCATGTTCTTGAATTTTGTTTGGTATTTTGTATTTCATATACATTGGTATTTGTGTATTTCAGATTATTCGAAGGAATTGCAAACAACAATTCTTGAGTTTTGTTCGCTAGACAGGAGTAGTTTGTATGTAGGTACTTAACAACACTTTTTCTATCTACACTTGGATTGCACAGTTTTTGTATTCCATTATTATTGTTTGAATCTTACAGACAAATTTAGGTCCTTACACAATAGGTGATATAATGAAGAGGATTTGGATCCCTAAGGTTGGGCCTTTATCTTCCATCTCTCCCAACCCCCTTGATTAGTGGGATCCTAATTGGCAATGCTCCTTTATTTGATTTTCAGTGTGATGGCTTATTCAAGAGTTTAATTACTTTACTGTGTTGAAATGTTTTGTAGGGTATGAAGCTCCCAACTTAACGTATGGCGAGTTGTTTTTTGGTCATCTTTGATTGAGTGAAACTTGTCATGATTTTGCAATTGTTTAAGAATCTTCACTTGTCATGATTTTGCAATTGTTTAAGAATCCATTTTAAGAAACTAAGAGAATAATCAACAGTGGCATAGTCCAATAACAGATCTACGGATAAAAAAGAGCCAAGTAAGCTATTTGTTTACTTGTGCTATGTCCTAGCTTCAGTTCATCCACAATGACTCTTTTTTGTCCAATGACTATTCCAAATCTAGGTCTAAATATTTTCAAATGTGTGATTGTTTACTATATTTTGAAACCATAATCTCAAGGTTTTCTTGATTCGAAAATCTTTCTTGCCTTTTTAGCTGCACAAGTTGATAATTTAGCTATTGTCCAAGTAGCTGCCACCTTTGGAAATAAGAAGCAAAAAGCTTATTTGCCTCTTGAA